AATGAACAAATAAACACACATTTTTAAAAAACTCCCCTCCCTGGCAGGATGGGTTCATTCATCTTCCCTAAAAATCATTTTCTCTCTCCTAAGTTAACTACATCCCCTCCCTTTCCCCAATTAGAGGGCACATCAGCTCTCAAATCTCAGTGCTTTTGGGGGTATCTACTTTTTTCCCTGTGATGTCCCATGTATTTAATATTAAAAATTAGGGCATCTCGATGGCTCAGTCAGTTGAGCATCCTACTCTTGATCTTGGCTCAGGTCATGATCTCACAATTTGTGAATTCAAGTCCCAGCCTCCCTGGGCATGGTGCCTGCTTGGGATTCTCTCTCTCTCTCTCTCTCTCTCTCTCTCTCCCCTCCCTCCCTCTCACTCTGCCCCTCCCCTGCTCATGCTCTCACTCTCTCTCTCAAAAACAAATAAACATTAAAATAACTAATATTAAAAATTAAGTAATAAATGTGTATACCCTTTCTCATGTTAACTTGCCTGTTCTTAGCTTATTTCACAGCCCCAGCTACCAAACCTAGGAGGGGAGAGGGAGGCTTCTCCTTCCGCAGGAGTCCGGGCAGAGACTCAGGGACAACTGTGGCCCCTCACCCCCCCCCTGACCCCCCCCCCACCCCCGGGCTGCTCGCACCTGCACCCAAGGGCTCCGCCGTCTCTTTTACATGTCACCCTTCGTCGCCCCCGCCCTGCCTGCGCCGGGGCCCAGGCGCACACACGCCCGCACAGAGCTGACACCGCTCGCTTCACCAGCCGAACCACCTACCCCCGGGGCAGGATGCCCAACACCCAGACTGCACGTCACACCAAGCAACCATTTTAATGCGGTGGGAGAACGCCCTTCCCTTGGCTGATGCCACTCTGGTCTGCGGTGTGATCGGAGGAGTGACTGCAGGGTAAGCCGGCCCTGCGCACGGGAGGCTCAGCCAGACCCGCGGGGGGCCCGCGCCCGGACAGCCTTGGCTTGCCTTCTGTGCTGTTGACAGAAGCCAGTCCCAAGCGGTGCCAAGGCCCGACAGCGCTGCTCGCAGCGGGAAAGAGCGCCCCCTCCGGTAACGGCGCGCGCGCCAGCTGCCGGTTCCCGCGGCCGCCGGGCGGATGCAGTGACGCTTCACAGCCTGTCGCCGCGTTCTGGCCGCCCGGCTCTCCTCACAGACCCACGGGGCTGCACGACACCCCGGTGAGATGTGGTCCCCACTAAGCCACGGTGACGCCCCACCGCCCGGCGCAGAAAGAGGGTCGAGAGGAACCCCCTGGTCACCACTTCGCCGAGTCACAGTCCACATGCCAGCGGGGACACATACCCCCGCGCGATGGGCAGGCCAACACTGTGAATGTTTGTAAAAATAATAAAATAAAAAGAGTTTACAATTAAAAGTGGAAAAGCATCACCACAATGTTCTAGAGAGGATGCTAAACCAGGCTCTATAAAAACTTTTTTACTGTTTTATTTTTTTAATGTTTTTTTTTTTTTTTTATTTCTAGGAGACAGAGAGAGAGAGACAGCGTGAGCAGGGGAGCGTCAGAGAGAGAGGGAGTCACAGACTGAAACAGACTCCAGGCTCTGAGCTGGCAGTCAGCACAGAGCCCAACGCGGGGCTCGAACCCACGAACCGCGAGATCATGACCTAAGCGAAAGTCGGACGCCCAACCGACTAAGCCACCCAGGAGCCCCATATTTTTTTTTTTTATTTTTGAGAGACAGAGAGAGACAGAGCATGACCGGGGGAGGGGCAGAGAGAGAGGGAGACACAGAATCCCAAGCAGGATCCAGGCTCTGAGCTGTCAGCACAGAGCCCCACACAGGGTTTGAACTCATAAACCGCAAGATCATGACCTGAGCCAAAGTCAGATGCTTCACTGCCTGAGCCTCCCAGGTGCCCCTCTATGAAAGTTTTGATGCAAACCCTGAATTCTCACCTAATGCCCACGTGATGCGGCTCCAGTCACATACGCTACTGAACCCAACCTTTCTCATCTGTAGGATGTTGTAAACTCTTCCTCCAAAGCAGACGCGGTTGTTTGCGAAGTGATGTAACACAACACAGATCCTGGGTTACTAACGTGCCACAAAGATGTATTACATCTTACGTCGAACATATTTTTCCATAGGAGTTTTCCAAAAGGATGAACAGAAGAAGACTCTCGCAGCTCTTAGTGCCTGCATTTCTTCTACACCTTCCCTAGTATTCATGTACCTGGTGATTCATCACTGCTGATGAACACTGAACGTGGAATTTTCACACTAAAACGTTAAGCTTTTACAAATGATGGCATTTTCAAAAAAAGAACCTGGCAGTGTTTGTACGCCAATAATAGACATTCTGGGCTGTGTCTATTCATTAAAGTAAAATTTTCCAAGACAACAAGCTAAGAATTCTTTCTTCATTTGTAAGTTCTCAGTACTGTTGGGCAACTATCTGAAAATTCATTAGGCTAAAGTTCAAATGTTAATATGTTCAGCATCTCCTAATTTGTTAACTAGGAATAATAATATACTAAAAACATGTTGCCCTAATCCTTCAATTTATTAAATGGATATCTCGCACTACCTTAGCAAGGAGCTGTCATTTTAAATTAAGAGTAGATTGAAAAGAATTGAAATTAATCTGCCTCATTCAGCCACATTTTTAACTTTTCTGAGAACAAAAAAAAAATTTTAATTATCTCTGGCTTTTTCCTTCATGAGAAATTTTGACACTTTAAACATGACCTGTCACATAAATCGACAGTGCAAGACCTATGTCCGGTCAAAACTATCAATCACAGCATCAACTTTGCATATTCTCAACTTTTTAACTTGCCCTCCCCCGTTTTCATATTAAGCCACTCCCCACTGTCAGCACTTTCTAGCCAGCTTGGTCTCATAAACCCATTCACAAAGACCCCCTTAAAATGTAGTTGGGCATCCCAGCTGCTATATATTTTTTTAAATTTTTTTCATGTTTATTTATTTATTTTGAGAGAAAGAGCCATCGCAAGGAGGGGAGGGGCAAAGAGAGAGGGAGAGGGGATCCCAAACAGGCTCCATGCTGTCAGTGCAGAGCCTGACATGGGGCTTGATCTCACGAACTCATGACTTGAGCCAAAATCAAGAGTCAGACCCTTAGCCAACTGAGCCACCCAGGCGCCCCTCCCTCAGCGTTGCTGTATTTTAAAACTAGCATGCGGAATGATGAGAGGAGCATTTCCATCATAAGTAAAAGACTGTCGCTGCATTGGTCAGGGTTCTCCAGAGAAAGAGAGCCAACAGATCTACACGGGTGTATTTATAAAGGAGAGTTATTATAGAAATTAGCCACGGGGTTAAGGAAGGCGAGAAGTCCCACAATCGGCTGTGTGCCCGCTGGTGACCTAGGAGAGTCAGTGCTATAATTCATCTGAGTCTGAAGGCCAGAGAACCGGGGCGGCAGGGAGATGATGGCATAAATCCCAACGTGAGTCCAAGGGTCTGAGAACCAAGTGGGCTGAGGGCTGATGTTCAAGGGCAGGATGGATGGATGTCCCAGCTTAAGAGAGTGAACTCACCCTTCCTGTTGCCCTGCTCCGGCACTCAACGATGAAGCGATACGCACCTGCGTTACTCAGTCTACTGATTCGATGCTAATCTCTCATGGACACATCCTCCCAAAAACACTCAGAAAGAATGTTTTACCAGCTATCTAGGCATCCCTCAGCCCCGCCCAGTGGACACACCAAATTAACCATGGCAGTCAGTTGCAGGGAGAAGTCCAACGTTGCCACAGCGATGATGCCAGGTAGCCACATGCCTGAGGTCGCTCTAAATGGCCACTAACTAATCTGATGACGGTAAATACAGCTCTCCAGGTCTTAGTTTATCTGAGCTTACTTATCTATGAACATATCTCATCCTGGAGGGAAGAAATGGGACTACTGGATGCAAGTAAGTGACTTATTATTTCACGAAGGACTAAGAGTAAAGCAGTACTTCGGCCAGTATCTGTGACTTCTTCCGTAATATCCACACTTGATTACATTTGTGCCAAATATCTTCCCAATTTTTTGTTTGACTTTTAATTCATGTGGTATGTTACTCATATTTTTATTTCATTTCTAACTCAGATTATCCTTGACTTTATGAAAACCAAATGAATTCGGGAAGAGGAATTAACAAAATTGCTTAATTCTATTCCACAAGGAATAGGTCTGTTGTTGACAGTTTATCCTGAACCCCTTTATCCAAAACTCCTCGAAACAGGACCCATGGCATCCATTTCTCATCCATGTCATAAACAGTATGTTATGATGAAGAAAGAGTTCTGGAAAATAACGGACAGAGTAATGTAACTTCCTTTCCAAAATGAAACAGCCCAAGCCCTTTAAGAAAATGAGCAACCACGATAGGAAGTTGGAAAAGTTAAAAAAATAAAAATAAAAAAGGACTGGGGAGAGGAGGCTCTAAATATGATCTCTTCACAAAACGTTATATTCCTTTCTTTTCTTTTTGGCTTTTTTGCATGACCTAAAATATTCTCCAGAATAACAGCCATGTGTCTATTAGACGGCTGCTTCTCTTTCCCACAAATGAGTAACAAAAGTTCATGGCCTTTGTACGTTTACAGGGGGGCGTGGGTGGCTCAGTCCGTTGAGCATCCGATTTCTGCTCAGGTCACGATCTCCTCCTTCCTGAGTTCAAGCCCCGCGTCAGGCTCTGTGCTGACAGCTCAGAGCCTGGAGCTGCTTCGGATTCTGTGCCTCCCTCTCTCTCTCTGACCCTCCCCTGCTCATGCTCTGTCTCTCTCTCTCTCTCTCTCTCAAAAATAAAAACAAATAAATGTTTAAAAATAAATTAAAAAATAACAAACCACACACACTTAAATTTGTATGTTTACACAGCTGAACAGCAAGTCAGGAGCTGTGGGTCTTCAATGCCTCCCGCTTCAGAGAAACTGAGGAAGGGGGGTGCCCTGGCTTTCTCCCCCCCCTCACCCCCACCCCCCCACCTGCGCGCCCGCTCACGCTCCCCTACCTGGGACCAGCTCGCAGACTTTCCAAGAAGGGGGGTGAGTAGGCGCGCTACCGGCCACGGCCCGGCCTGGGCATGACCTTCACAAAGGGAGGGCTTGGCCAAACCTGTCACAAGAATTTGAAAATGTCTCTATTGCGTTTCGAACCACACGTGGGGGGGCACCGGGTGGCTCCGTCGGTTAAGCGCCATGTGATCCCGCTCCCGTCGTCCTGGTTGTGACTCGGGGCCCCGCCTCCGGCTCTGTGCTGACGCTCAAAATCTAAAAGCCACCAGACGGGGCGTGGGCCTGCGCCGCGACGCTGACCCTGGGGGTGGCGCCGGCCGGCCGGCCCGCCAGGCGCGAGCGTGACCAGGCCCGGCCCCGGCCGCCCCGCCTCGTCTCAGCGCGCGTGCCCGCGGAGCGGCCACGGCGTGGGGCTCGAGTGTGCGGACGCCAGCGGAGCGTGGGCTCCCGGCGCCCGCGGCCCGCACGGCACTCGGCCGGGGCCTCGGCACAGCCAGCCCCGGGGCCCACGCGGCGGCGCTGCGCTCCCCGCGCGCCTCCCGGCGGAAGCGGCGGCGGAAGGGGCTGCCGGGGCGCATGCCCAGTGGGGGCGGGGGGGGGCACCGCCTGCTCAGCCTCGAGCCCCGCGCCCCGTCCCGCCGCACCTGCAGAGCAGGACCCGCCGATGCCGGTCACGGGTGCCGGTCACGGCCAGGCGCCGCGCGGCCTCCACCGGCCGGGACCTGGGCCTCCCATCCCGCCTGGCTGCCGGCTAACTGACGGCTCCCCCCCCCCCCCCCCCCCGCCGGAAGGGAATGGGCCTCCCCGCACGGGACGGGGCCCTCCAGGACCGAGTGAAGGACGTGAGCAGGGACAGGCAGTCCGTGCCAGGCGGCCCAGNCCCCCCCCCGCCCCGGCCGGAAGGGAATGGGCCTCCCCGCACGGGACGGGGCCCTCCAGGACCGAGTGAAGGACGTGAGCAGGGACAGGCAGTCCGTGCCAGGCGGCCCAGCGCTGCTGCAGGGTTAGGCCCTGAACTGAGAGACCGGGTCACGCTCCACCCGCCCCTCAGTAAGGCCGCGTGGGTTCAAGGCCACGCTGAGGTTCTTCGTAGGTGGACCGGTCCGTGTTTGCACCCCATGATTGGGGCGCAGAGGCGGTTGTCATGGTGGACGATTGCCTTCAGGACACAAAGCATGTTTGGGGTGCTAACATCGACGCCCACCGTCTTGGGTTCATTTCTGAGACCTAGAAAGGGTTTGGTTTTGGTTCTGCTTCTTTTGGCTCGGGCCAGCCCCGGTGATCCCAGCAGGTTCTGAGGGCCTGCAGCCCCCGCGGCGGCTAAAATATAGGCAGAGGTGCAAACTACTCACTTTGGGTCAGGCTGGGTCACTAACAGGGCCTGGTGGCCCAACCTGGCTAATCACTGCTAGGAGCCGTGGAGGTACAGGCTTCGCCCAGACCCCTGTACCCCGCCCTGAGCTCGGGAGGTACAGCCTTCGCCCAGGCCCCTGTACCCCGCCCTGAGCTCGGGAGGTACAGCCTTCGCCCAGGCCCCTGTACCCCGCCCTCAGCTGGGGAGGTACAGGCTTCGCCCAGACCCCTGTACCCCCACCCTGAGCTGGGGAGGTACAGCCTTTGCCCAGGCCCCTGTACCCCCGCCCTCAGCTGAGGAGATGTGCAGGCGGGCAGGAACCAAGCAGCCGAGGTGAATCACAGCCCTTGGCCCTTCCAGGGTGCTGCTCCCTTCTCTCGTGCCGTAAAGACCCCTTCGGCCTGGGAGCTTGTTCTTCAGAGGATGCTGGGCCCAACGTGGCCAAGGTCAAGTGTCCTCACCCAACTGGGCTGGTTTGGGGGCCTTACTTAGGGGAGGGGAGTCTCCTTTTCCATAGCTCTGGATTTGTTACTGTTTCATACTGCCAATAAAGACTGTCCGCCTTGGGTGGGGGGGGAGGCGGGATCAGATTTCTGGATGTTTGGGGGTTTTTAAATTTGTTTTAAACTTCTGGATGTTTTTAATTGCCATCCTTTGGTACCTCCATAGACTAATAGTAAATAAGAATTTTTTGCAGTTATATGGCATAAAAGATAACTGTGATGCCAGCTCATATCTTTGCACACAGCCCTTAAACATAACCTTCTTGAGACTCTCTCTCAAACACAGTTAAAGGCTTGAAGACACCAGCGCCTGGGTGCCTCGGTCGGGTAAGCATCCGACTCTTGGTTTCAGCTAAGGTCATGATCTCACATTTCATGGGTTCGGGCCCACATCTGGCTCTGAGCTGGCAGCACAGAGCCTGCTTGGGACTCTCTATCCCTCTCTCTCTGCCCCTTCTATGCTTTCTATCTCTAAATAAGTAAAGGAACATTAAAAGAAAAAAAAAAAGCCTGAGGCTATCAACAAAGACCAAGAGAGCAAGGCCTATGGCTTCTAGATGAGTCTAACTTCTCAAGAACACGGAAGGTAATTGGATGACCATTCTGTAATTTTTGTGTGGATTCAACAAGATACGCTTCCCCAGAATTGCAGCAGGAGGGAGTGAAGTGGCACCCACAGGGCGTGTCAGGGACACCAGGCACTTCCACACAGCGCCCCCTGCAGGCGTGTGTGCGGACCTGAGGAATTTGTTGATGGCTTCATTATTATCACTCAGAGAAACAGACAAATGGCTCTTCTTTGGCAGTGAAAGGCCAAAATAACAGCCTAGAGAATGAAAATCTGCTTTTTCCCTCCTTATATAGGGCTCACCAAGAGTACTTCTTATGGGACAGTTGTAGCCGGTGAAGGAGCCAATGTACCACGTGTTCATAATGTCAAGTCCACCCAGACAAATGAAAATAAAATAAAAACAGGTTTTTCATCAGGTCAAGTCAAAAGTTAGGGACCAGCTAGAACAGAATGTCATCCTACATTGAGATTAGCGAAAGGAACAGACATACTTGTCCTTCTGTCTTGTTTTATGTTCCCTCGGAGCAGGGCGACCACATCAGAGAGGCTTCCGTGGGTGACTGATTTGACAGGTAGCTTACAAGTGCAGCCCAAGTTCAAAAACCTCCCAGACTCCGCAAAGCCAGGCTCTTCTTTCTCATCTTTTCTTGACATTTTGCTCCTAAAATTAGCTTTTTGATGAGAAAATTGCAGTGAGTCATACCAAAGCTAGTTAGAAGTGAGGCAAATGCCTTAGATTGAAATTGAGTTGATTCTACTTTGCTTGCTGATGGTGCCTGGTAATTGGACATTGGAATTAGAACTGCTATGACCTTTCACAATAATAAGAAAAACTCTATTCAATTTGCTGGAATTTTTTTTCGATATTTAAAGCAATTTTTTTGAATGAAGTAATTTACTCTTCTTTTTAAATTAGCAGTACCAAACAGCCTGTTTTTCATGTTGTTCTGTGCATTTATTCAATAATTCTAGTTCTCAGATCAATAAAAACCAATCTGTTTCTCACTTTCTTATCACCTCTCGTGCCAATCCCAAATCCCTCCCGTCCTGCAGCCTCCCGCTGTTCCGCTGTTCGCGGAAGTTACCAGTGTGCTTGCCTTCCCTCCCCTCGCTCTTCCTGCCACCCAGATCTCAGAGACACTCCTCTCCAGATATGGTCTACACTCTCTTCCTCTTCCCTCTGATGTCGTCTCTGCACTGCCTATAGCACGTACTGTTTCCAGTTACTGTTTGAGAGTGGGCTGATGGACAAGATGTGCGATTGCTGGTCCCAATTATGTACCAAGAGCTAGAACAAGATTGCATTTCTTTCTCCATAGCACTTCCCTGATATTGTACCGCTCATCCTTCCAATCCATTTATTTCCATCACTTAACAACTATTTATTGGGCCCACTCTGTGTTCACCCATATTCCAGTACATTAATAAGATTCCATATTCCTCAAAGCAGAAAAAAACTGTCTGCCTTATATTCTAGAAGGCAGACACAGACAATAGAAAAATATAGAAATAAGAGAAAATAAGTAAAATATGTAACATATGAGAAGGTGCCAAGAGCTATAAAGAAAAAAAGGAATCTGGACTTGGAATTAACTGAAAGCTTCTAGAAGGAAGATCAGGAGTTCAGTTTGAACACAATATTTAGATATATGTTATCTTAGACAAGCAGAGGTCACCCACACAGAGACACCAGTGCCCCGTTGGAAATCAGATGGATGATGGCTGGGAGACATTTCCACAAACAGGATATTTAAAGCCATGAAACTGGATAATAGTAGCAAGAAGGAGTATAGATTTAAAAGGCGAAAGTCCAGAGGCCCTTGGGTGGCTCAGTCAGTTAAGCATGTGGCTCTTGACTTTGGCCCAGGTCATGATCTCACAGTTCATGAATTCAAGCCCCATGTTGGGCTCTGTGCCAACAGTGCAAAGCCTGCTTGGGATTCTCTCTCCCTCTCTCCCTGCCCGTCCTCCACTCGTGTGCTTTGTTTCTCTCTCTCTCAAAATAAATAAGTAAAAAAAATTTGTTTTTAATAAAATTTTTAAAAAGATTCCAACTTCCACCCTATTAGCCCTCTCTAGTTCTTTTTCACTAATTTTTTTTACTAGGACTGAGAAAGCCAGTTACTGTGTTGTGAGCTGCCCCTGGGATGTCCCGTGTGGCAAGGAACTGATGTCTCTGGCCAATAGCCATCAAGGACCTGAGGCTGGTTGCCTGCAGGAGTGGATTCTCCCCAGCTGAGCCTTCAGATGAGACCACGGCCCATGCTAACTGTTCGACTGCAGACATCAAAGACACAACCTGAGCCTGAGGACCCAACTAAACTGCCTGGATTCCTGACCCCCAGAAGTTGTGAGGTAATAAATGAATATTGTTTTTAGCTGCCAAGTTTGAGGGTTGTCACATAGCAATGTAAGTAATACAGGTGGTAAATGGCAGAGATGGAGTTAAAATCCAGACATATTGTTGCCAGAGCCTACTTTAAAAGTACGATATGGAGGGCACCCGGGTGGCTCAGTCAATTAAGCATCTTACTCTTGATTTCAGCTCAGGTTATGATCTCACGGTTCATGGGTTTGATCCTTGTGTCAGGTTCTGTGCTGATAGTGTGGATCTCTCTCCCTCTCTCTCTCTCCATCTGTCTCTGCCTGCACATACTCTCTCTCTCTATCTAAATGAATAAACAAACATGAAAAAAATCAATATGGAAAAAGGACTGTTAGGATCCGTATGGGATTACAGACTTTCATCATTTTCAATCAGTCCCTCTGCTGCCTACACAAAGTCCCCAAATCAAGACAAGATAGGACTCTGGAGGGAAAGGATGGCATATTACGCTTGTGGTCATGACTCTGACCTCTAGAGTGATCATACTCACAGAACAGTAGCCTCCCCCACGTCACAAATGGACATGGATAAACAGACACATGTTCTCTGATGCCGTTCTCGTCCATGGAATTAAAAATACCTAAGTTCGTTTCATCAGGCACCAGGATTTGATATTTTTTTAATACTTCTTAGAAGGCCTTTTAAATAT